CTCTCTCTCTCTCTCTCTCTCTCTCTCTCTCTCTCTTCGTCTCTCTACTCTCTCTCTCTCTCTTACTCTCTCTCTCTCTCTCTCTCTCTCTCTCTCTCTCTCTCTCTCTCTCTCTCTCTCTCTCTCTCTCTCTCTCTCTCCCCTCCTCCCCCCTCCCCTCCCCCGTCCCTCTTTCTCTCTATCTCTCTCATGTGTATTTATATTTTATATTTTATAATGCACTCCTCTCTCTGGCGGCGCGTTGCAATCGAAGTACAGGGTTAAGAGCATAATACAAAAGTCTCTAATGTCGCAATAGAGCACAGATCGCCAGCCGCATCTCCGAACAACGTTGACGTAACATCGCTGGCATTATTGATTCGGTTTGCTCCTTTTTCACGTTGATTTTCCTTTGCGTCGTCGGCCGAAGCTAATTTGTGACGACGAATCGCGCGCATATCGTCATACGGTCTGTTATTACGCCGGAATAAAGATTCGTGACAGAAGTCCCGCGGTGCTTATCGTATGCGAATTCGCAGTCTCGTCGTTGCGTACGAGCAATGTTTGCTAACTTTAGCTCTCTTATATTAATCCTTAACGTGCTGCGTGCAAGCGCACAATCCTTCACGCGAGCGCATTCCTATAGTTTTCATTACCTCTGCCATTTTAAATCGAAACCTGATATAAGAAGCTGTATCTTAATAAAAATTGCAGTATTTAGTTGCAGTATATAGATAGTTAATACGTATACATCATTGTATGAAAAATAACAACAATTAATAAAACTGACAAAATTTAACATTAAATTTATTGTTGTTTCGTAACTTATCACGGATATCTTTATTTTATCATTTATTGTTTCTTCATTATTTATATTTTATTAATTCACAAATATTTTCTTAATTCATAGATAAAATTATGGTAATTATATAGTAATTAATATAATTAATTTATGACAAATTTCTTAAAATTTCATTGATATTTGATGCTTTCTAAATATGATCAATACTTAACATAAAATATATAAATATATTGAAATAAGATTTACAAAACTTAACAATATTAATCAAATCTGTTCATTAAACTTAAATATATTTCAAACTAATTTATCTCAAACATATAAAATATTTTCCAACTCTTTCAATTATGTCATAAAAATTAAATATTTTATCAATTAATAATATAGATATAATAATATAGATCAATTAATAATATAGATATAATAATATAGATATATTAAATTAACTATATATTAAATAAATATATAGTTAAATATTATTTATAATCTTTTTATTAATATCAGTTATTAGTTTTAGTTTTTAGGATCTATACAATCGTTACAAAAAATTTATGTTTAATTTACATCTCAATACATATTTGCAGATTTATCAAATCATTTAATAATATTGATGATAAAAGACATTATAGACGATAAATGTACGATAGATCAAAATTATTTTATCCAAGCCACACAAGTTTCGTCAGACTATAATTATTTCCATTAATCTCATCAAAAGTCACAACTTGCGGAATATATTGTATGTTACGAAAAAAATATTTCCCTGGCATCTTGACGTACTAAATATTAAGCTCAGTACCAACTGAAGAGAGAAGGAGACGCTTGATTTATTAAAATTACACACCTCATAACATGACTCGCGGTGTAACTTGCATTTGTAGTTGATAAGCTACGCGACAAATGTCAGTTTACACACGAGAATGATTGTGACGATATTCAACACCGGATCTGAAAGTTGAAGATAGTATATTGCGTGGTTTAATTCAAACAAAAGATCCTATCATATTAGACACGTGTGAATTCAGTGGAATTCAATAGTGAACACAGTGGAATTCTGATTCAACGGAAATTCATATATCCATATATCATATAGGTCATAATAATTCATCCGCGCATAAAACTATACATTCGATCTATTTCTATATAATATTTATGTACAAGAAAGAAAGTTTAGATATTTATTCTTTGCAGTAAGAATAAGGAAAAACATATGTAACATATATAACATATTTTAAGCATGTAATATTTTTTCCTACAACATGTAATGTCATCAATCGTATTAAGAAAAAGAAATATGTACTTCACTTATAAAGCTAAATAAAATATACATCTTATGTTGCATATATTAAAACACGATAAGTTGAAGTATATGTCGCGATAAAATTTGATGGAAGAAGTTGGTTGAAGATTTGCCATAAGATATATGATAATTAGAATTGTAAAAGTAAATAAGGAACCTGCGTATACATCGAATGTCAATGCGCATCTATGCCTGTGGTACTAAGCTATCTAGTTTGCGACATCGTGACAACTTATTACGTTCTCATTATATAGACCTGGACGATTTCTCGAAATGTCGCCTGCTGACATATGTTCCGGTTGTAAAAAACACATCTTCGTTGCGCATTCATCGTGATCGCGAATGCGAAATGATGTATTGCCACAGTAAACTTGCAGCGTTTTCAACGTCATGAAATAATTAATAATCATGTTTGCAACGCTTTATTACGCTTGAAAATTTAATATGTTTATCTCAGTTTTGTTATTGTGGGAATGTAAGATTTATTATTTAAAAGTATAAATAATCTTTTATTAAGAACATTTTCTATTAATATTATAATACGTAATAAATATATATTCTGACTTAATATATAATATTTTTAAAGAGAGAAAAAAAGAGAGAGAAAGGGAAAAATAAGAAAATTTATTCTGTCAGATAAATTTGTAATTTTAAAAATCATACATTGATTATTTAGAAGCATTTTAATTTATTTCTATATCTTTCTATCAATTTCAGTACTTTTTATCGAATAAAATTTAAAAACTTAAAAATTTAATTAAAATAATAGAATAAAATTAGAAGAGTTAAAATAATAGAATTAGAAAAATTAGAAAGAATTAAAATAATAGCATAAATTAGATAATTATTACAATTTAATTTATAAAAAACGGATTTGCTTTAATGTATTTTAATTTTTGTCAAAATTAAAAATTTTCCACTTTATATTATGCCAATAAAAGAATAAAAAAAGTATTAAAAAAAAGAATTTAATCTCGCAAAAAATTCTTTATTAATTTCATTAGCTCCATTTCTACTAAATATAATATGATGCAAAGAATTCATAACTTTTTTTAATTTTGTAGTACAATAAGTTATCCCAGAGTCCTTCAAATTAATAAACGACTGCATATCATAGTACAGTTGTATAAGAGAAAATTACATATCTTAGTATAAACGTAAGAGAATTTCCTTTCTGGTCCTCTTCAACAGTCATAATGAAGAAAATATTATTCATTTTTATCTCAGATCTCATAAGGAGACGATGCAGTAACATTTCATTAAGGCAACCACCAACGTTCTTTTCTCATTACGAAGAACTTCTCGTAGTGTAATATATTATATAAAATTTTCTGGAATATAACTTTCCTTTTAATTTAAAGAGGCACATTTTGTAATGTTAATCTTTCATCCATAGAGAAGTTTTGATTCAAAATTTTTCATTTAGAATTCAACGAAATTTATCACTTAATCACTTAAGTTTTTGTACAATGATAAGAACAGATGATTGCATATTAAAATATGTTATTAACAATACTCGAGACAAATATTAGTTTTGATCTACATTCCAATTTTTTTCAATCAACTATTGACTTGCATATATCCTTGTTTAGATTTTTCTAAAAAGAAGAAATCAATTTATTTATTTATTTATTTTATTTAATTCCATTTTATGAACTTTTCCATAAAATATCATAATATACATCTTTGGAAAAAATATCTCCAATAACCCAATTTCTTCTTCATGCAGTTGGTCGTGCTTTGCGTGACGATAGCCAGTGTTATTGGTGATCTGCCACCGGGCACGCGACGCAATACGTATCTACCACCAGAGAAGAAAGGTTACACATATAGCACACCATCGGTGCCATTTCCGACGCCGAGCTTCCCTGGACCTAGACCGACGCCATCCTTCCCCGGACCCAGACCCACGCCATCCTTCCCTGGACCCAGGCCCACGCCGTCCTTTCCCGGACCTAGACCGACACCATCCCTTCCCTGGACCCCAGACCCGACTCCTACTTATCCTACAGGACCTACTAGACCAACGCCAAC